TGGATGGATGGATGGATGGATGGATGGATGGATGGATGGATGGATGGATGGATGGATGGATAGGCAGAAAGATGAATAGCAAACACGGTAGTTATCGAATGCACGGTAAATTCGGACCTGGTTAGTATCCTGAAGTAAGTAATTTGTATTTGTATAGCTTTTGCAACCTGAGATATGCTTACATTTCAGTTAAAAATTGTACACTGGTCGTCACACTGGAGAAAATATAGAAGTAGAAACAAATTCAATAGAGGGCTCTGTAAATAGTAAATAAATAAATGTCTCTAAAGTTTGATTCATCCAATTACAGATTGACTTAATTCATTTATAACTCTTTCCTTGTTGGTCAAGATGCGAGCCAGATACGGTACAGTGTAGTTTTTATAAATGTTTATTCGGGAGAGTAAGCACCGATAACAGGTACGAGTGATCGAGTGGGAGCGACAAGAAGATAAGTCAAAATGCAAAGGATGGGTGGGGTCGTTTAGAATCTTATTAGCAAAGGTCGTGCAAGACTTCATATGACCAATAATAAGTTCTGTGATTAATGACTCGGCAGAAATTAAAGATGCATGGCTTATTATCGTTAATCCAAGACGGACAGTTTCAAGTCTTGTTTCAATAAACCGGAAAACACTGCAGGGGAGCAATTAAGCAAAATAGGACGCATTGCTTAACAAAAGAGAACAAAACTTGTTGGGGAGTGTGAAATTTTCTGAGCTTCCGAAGCTGAAAGGAGAGGTGCCGAAGTTTTCCCATACAATTCTGAATGTTTGTCTACCACCGAAGATTATTATTGATAGTAACACCCAGTTATTTGGCTGAGGTCACTCTAGACAAAAGATTACCATTAGAGTTACAGAGTCTGACGGGAATGTAGACCAGGAAGAACTAAAAATGTACTTCAAGCACTTGGATGCGTTAACATTGAGGGCAGACTGGTTTGAAAATTGTTTGATTCGGGGCAGATTTTCAGTGACGGAAGAAAACTCCGAAGAAGAGGAAACGGTCTGACATAAAGCGACATCGTCAGCATACTTTCGAATATGAGCAGGCTGTGGAACTGAAAGATCATCAATGAAAAGATACGGAGAGATGATAGCACGTTGAAGTACACCAGAATTATTGACTCGAGAACTTGAGGTATTCCTGCCCAACTTTGTGCACTGGGTTCTTCCAGTGAAATAATCAGAAATCCATGAAAGAAGCTATCTCGGGGTGTCAAAAGATTCAAGGGTAAATGGAGGGATGACCGGGATACGGAATCAAAAGCAGACGAATATTCGAGAAAAGCACAACGAACATATTTGGCAGAACTGTTCAGTGACTTGCTTATAAAATGGACCAGAGTAGACTTAGCTTCAAAAGTGGATCTGTCGGGTTTATACTCGAACTGAAGAGGATCATGGGGAATGGTGACAAATAATTGTAAGCGACTCAGGATGGCTTTCTCAGTCAACTTTGGAACTACAGATGTCAATGCAATGGGACGAAAAAGTTTTACCAGAACGGTTGAGGATGAGGTCTTTGGAACAGGTATAGTCACTGGTCGCCGGGAATCGGGGATTATCTGTGAAGAGAGCGAGACTCGTTGATGAGGGATGTAATCATACTAGTTAGAGAGGCTGCTCCAAACTTGAGAAACGCTAGAAAAAGACTATCAGGGCGCGCAGATTACGATGATTTGAAGGAACGTAGAAGCTTAAAAATTTCATCATTACAAAAAGGAAACATATCATAATTAGAAATCTCACATGGGAAAGAGAGTATCTGAGTATCGTTAGACGGATAAAGAAATGCAGCGTTTGGGCTATCTGCATCAACATCACTGTTCACGTTTTTCCTTTTTTGTCCGCAAAGAAGACGAATTCCTTGCCACAGAAACCTTGCGTCTTTCGTATGCAGAATTTGGGAAGCGAAGGTCTTCTTTAAACGTGTAATCTCAGCCTTAATTAATTTAGAGTAGTACTTTACAGCAGATGGATGGTGGGATTTATAGGATCGTCCTTTGCCTTCGTAAAGAGTTCAAGCGAGGAGATTCAATTTTACCGTTGCAAACAAAAAGCATTTCCATGGAACAGCAAAAATGGAAAATCCATTTCATCGTTTCGGTGAAAAGACTGACAGTTAAGAAGTGAAGAACAAGAAGCAAACCAAGATTGGACAACCGTAATGGAACGACAGAGAAGAGAAATGCGGGTTGATGAAAAGTTACGGAGATGAAACCTTGTCCGATTTGATCGTATGAATGTTGGATATGCAGAGTGGGAGTATATCTTTGGTCTTAAGAGGAGAACACAATGATCACTGGTAGCGATTGGGGCCATCAGATTGAGAGAAAACAAAGTGGGATGGTTTGTGATTACTTGGTCAAGTAAAGAGCTGCCTCTGGTAGGAGACTGCGACAAATCAGATAAGCCAAAAGAAAGCAAAGAGAAAATGCTTTCATGGTTGAAATCAACAACAGCCAAATGAAGATTCTCATTAAATATTGGAACCAAAAACGGGATATAATGATCAAAGAAAGGAGATATATCTGGCTGGGAGCACGAAGGAGGTATATACACATAAGTAGTTATTTTACTTTTATATCGGGAGAATCTGGGATGACAAGGAACGGATAAACAGTCAATGGATTTTTCAGAATAACTGAAAACCACTCCAGACTTGTCACATCAAGAAGTGTTGATGTACGTTGTCACACCGCCTCCAGTTATTTTTCCTGCTATATTGTCTATCTTGTCGGTAACTGTCGAAACGATCTATCTGCACGAGAGCATCCTCAACGTTTTGATTTAACCAGGTTTCGTGAAACGTTCCATCCACGAAATCAGCATAAAGTGAGCATTGTTTTTCATGGCAATACATATTAGTACATACTGAGACTTTTAGAAACTTACGATCCAACGGTGATCCGAACCTTGAGCGACGTCACCCGGTTCTCCGACCGCTGAGTGATGTCACGCTGATAGTACGTATGGATAACGTGTGGCGATTTCGACAATGCATGGTAATGCGAAGATCTAGGATATCTTGACTGGAGATTTCCGGGTCGGCGATTACGAAGAATATGCATAGATAATGAAAAAACAATTGCGGTGTACAATTCCATGATCTTTTCATTCAGTGACTCGGGTAGTCTCGAACATAGAACACATGTGCCGATATTATGTTACTAGGGCCGGTTAGTGTTCCTTTGAGAACAACGACCTGTTCCGTCAGCTGCAAAATATGAGAAGATAGTTCCTTCAGGATGTCCACGCCAGATAAAATCGTCCTCGAATTATCCAATGAACTTCCAAAAACTCGTCTTTGAAGGATGAATGGAAATTCGCATTTGACTCACAGTTACTTGTGAGTAGTGTGTGTAGGAGAATTGATATTGACTGGAAATGACCTCCGGAAAGTTATTGTTAGTGCAACTGCGAGAATTCGTCAAGTTATTGAATGTATGAGTAATAATACAAGGTTCCAATCAATACGTATAGGGACAAAGGTTTCAAGGAATAACGTAACTGGTGCTCAACCAAATAACAAAAGGAATATACCAGAAGATTTGCCGTTGGAACAGAGGTATATCGAATTACTGTGGTCTAGTGAATGCTTCGTTACATATTAACGGATAGTTAGTTATGGTAAAGCAAGAATACGATGACATGGAAACGAAAGAGAGCGAAAGTGTAAATTGACGTCCAAAATTATACAGTCTGTATGAAATAAATACCTGTATGTCTCTGTCGTGCAATGTAAAGTGAACGTATACATAGTCTCTGGGACAAAAACGATATGCACCAAATTTTTATCCTTGTCCGAATTTCAGCGTACAGTCAACGAAATGCAACAACGTCTGTCTTCCCCCCCCCCCCTCACCACCACCACCTCTAGAACGTGTAACTTTATTGTTTGCATATTCAGTGGCATAGGGTAAAGTGAATGCTGAAAAGAATTGAGTTGAACTAGTGCTGTTTGTTCGCCTAATCATATTGTGCTACACCCATACAGCACACGGTGATAGGCAACCAAAACTTGTTAGTTTGGGCATATTATTGGAAACCACTTTTATATTTTCCTAATGTTTCTTCACGACTTCAGAATAAGAAGGGTGATATTTTACCAGTTCCAAAAACATTTTCATTGGATATATAGCAAGACAATGGAAGCAATTAACAATCTATTTAGTGATGATAACAATAGCCGATTACGGAATATGAAACGTCTCTCAATTCTACAAAATACAAAATAACGTCAAAGATAAACCCAGCCAGAACCAGATCAA